AGAGGACAATGATCCGAAACATCGGAGCCGTGCGTGCACGGAGTGGAAACGCGAAAATGGCATCAGGACACTGGATTGGCCTTCTCAGTCGCCTGACGCTAATCCAATCGAAAACGTGTGGGCAGCAATGAAGGTCAAGCTCAGGGAAAAGCGAGTATACAATGTGAAGCAGCTGACACGTCACATTCGCCAGATATGGAGGTCTCTTCCCGAAATAATGGCAGAAAATCTCGCAGAAAGTATGCCTAAACGGTGCCAGGTTATAATCGACAATGATGGAGACTAGACCACATATTAAGTAAATGCATTGTAGTACAATGCCTATATTTCACGGCTATACGTTTAATTATAAATAATACTTTTTACCTCAGAAAATATGACCGACACGCTCTTGTGGAACAAAGTGTAAATCAGAATGGACAACCTGTGATGAGTGCCGCGAAATACCACCCAGAATAAAATTCGCACCGGGCGAAAGATCTGCAGGGCCGCAAGTATCATCCAATGTCAAAGAACCTTTGAATTTTTTCAAGATGTTCTTTACCGACGAGCTAGTCGATCAAATAATAATAGATGCCAACAACTATGCTGCAAAAAAGTTAGAGGGAAGGTCGCTATCATCACGGTCGCTCTGGCAAACATGGTCCAACGTCACAAAAGAAGAATTTTGGGCGTTTATTGCAGTGATTATAAATATGGTGTAGCGACCAGCTACAGCGGAGAACATTTGGCGAGCAGACTACCAGCACGGTTTATGACGTGCGCGCTTGAAAAGCTATTTTTGAGGAAACCGTTTTTAGCTTATTTAATTTCTAGAAATTCGACAATGCATGTCCGCGTAGAAACTTTCTCCGACGGCCTCAATAGCAAATTGCCGCATCATAAACCAAGGGTTTCCGAAAGGTCCGCCGTACGAGGCCCAGAGGCCCGGACCGGCAGGTCACGAGTACTTGACCTGGAGGAAACTCAGCTGCCCGCCAAGTGACGTCAGGGGAAAAACCTCCCCCGCCAAGTCGCACTGCGGTCCCCGAAAAAGCGCGCCAAGGGCACAAGGGACACGCAGCGACTTGGGGAAAGAAATTACCTGATTGGTTAACACCGACGCGACGGGTTAACCAATCAGGTACGATTAACAGACAGCCAAAAGTTAATAAGAAAAGCGAGGCGTCAGGAGGCCAGTCAGGCACGGACCTCCAACGCCGACAGTCCAAAAAAATAAAGATCGTACTAAGACCGTGAGGGTACTTAGCGAAACCCTACACACGTTTCGTTATTTATAATAATAACCATATTCCCTCAGGACATACCTTGGAGATCCTTCGAAACCGTCTCTTCCATTACCAAAAAAATTTAGAGCGGTCTACTAGTAATGAAAATAATTGAGGTGGTCACGTTAGGTGGACCACCCTGTACGTATAATAAAAACGAAATATAGTAGGTCATCCTGAGAGTTCTCGCGGTTTTTAAGCTGTTCATTTTGAAAAAAACATGACTCCATTGAAATCACACATTTTTATTTAAAATAATCTCTATAATGTTCGATACACTTTTGCCAACGTATTACAAGAGCATCAACCCTTTGACTGCGGCGCACTGCTATATTTTTATGCCAAAATATCGAAGAGCGTTAAATTTTGAGTAAAAAAGTATATTTCGAGTATAGCATTCCGTTTAAAGAAACGAAGTTGACCTTGAAATCTCCGAAACGCCTCCACCTAA